AAACCAAAGCACACTGCAGCTTCAAGCACTGTTGAAAGAGCAAGAGAAAACATGCTACAGCAGACAATATCACTGGCCAACAAATTTTATGAAAATTTTTGTTTTCTCTAAACTTTTTGGTGAAACCAATAGATTTTGACACGCTGAACACAAATATGTAATTCTAATTTCAGTATTACGCAGGTTTTTTTTAAGAAAACTGCATTTATGCATTTAACATAATAATGTCTCCAGCAGCACAGGCCTACGCTACGATATATGATTTACGATGCCATACCCAAGCAACACGAAAGAAATCTAAAAGTGTTTTGCCTCAGATTTTCGCTTGTAGTCACTGTCCGATGCCTCGCGTATCAGTATCCAACAATAGTCTCCCAGCATAGACGGACTCCACTTTCCCTGGTAGCGTTTCTCCATGTTGGCAATCTCTTGATGAAACCTTTCACCATGCTCGTCACTAACCGCGCCGAGATTTTCTGGAAAGAAGTCTAAGTGAGAATGAAGAAAATGTATCTTAAGGGACATGTTGCAGTTCATTGACTTGTATGCTTGGAGCAGACTTTCAACCAGTTTGACGTAGTCTGGTGCCTCGTAGTTGCCCAGAAAGTTAGAAACGACATTCTTGAAGGCAACCACGCAACACGTTCAGCACCCTGCAGAAGGCCATCAAAGTAACTATCCTTCATCACCTTTTGAATCTGTGGGCCAACGAAAACACCTTCTTTTATCTTGGCATCACTGATGCGTGGACACATCTGTTGCAAATATGCAAAGGCTTCGCTTTGCTTGTTCATTGCTTTAATAAAGTTTTTTATTAACAAAGTTTTTCATTAGCCCAAGCTTGATGTGCAAAGGTGGAAGAAAAATTTTCTTCGGATCAACCAATGGCTGATGTGCAACAATCTTCTGCCCTGGAACCAATTTCCTGCGAGGTGGCCAGTCCTTTCTCACGTAATGTAAAGCTCTTGCTCGGCTGTCCCACTTGCAAAGAAAACAACAGCACTTGGTGTATCCAAGCTGCAGTCCGAGTAAAATGGCAACCACCTTTAGATTGCCGCATATATTCCAGTTGTACTTCGAGTACTGAACATGTTTCAGCAGCAGCTGCATGTTCTCATATGTTTCCTTCATATGAACGGCATGTCTGACAGGTATGGAAGAGTAGATATTGCCATTGTGCAGCAAAACGGCCTTCAAACTTAACAGTGATGAATCAATAAACAGTCGCCATTCTTTTGGGTCATGTTCACATGCGAGATCAGAAAGCAATCCATTGATGTCACTGCAAAAGGTCAGACTGTCAACCTGTCTGAAGAATTTTGTCAAATCTTCATGATGGCGCCGAAAAAATGACATTTTTGTATCTGATGACAACAGGTTCCACCCTTGCAACCTTGATCCAAGCAGTTCTGCTTGACTCTTCGATAAATTCAAATCTCTGACAAAATCGTTGAGCTCTACCTGAGAAATTAAATGATGATCACTGGATGTTGATGGTTCAAAATCTGGATCGTTGGAGCTTCAACAACGGTCAATCGGTTCGTCTATCTCTGTCTGCTCCTCTTCGTCCTCCAGCGTCCACGTCTCTGGCGGTTTTGGAACAGGAACCTTGTAAACCAGTGTTATAATATTAAATTATCATTGCAATTGGGATGATTTGTCTGAATTAATTTAGTTTACATCAGGCTGAGCAACTACATGGGGAAGAGATTGTTGTGGACTTCAGGAGAAAACCTCAAAGCATCCACCACTGACCATCGACGGTGCTGTAGTGGAGAGAGTTAGCAGTACCAAGTTCTTGGGGTGCACATCTCCGAGGACTTCTCCTGGACCAACAACACCACATCACTGGCCAAGAAGGCTGTGTGGTACAGTCTGTACTGCCTCCTGCAGAAGGATCCTGCAATGCATAGTGAAAACAGCCAGAAAGATCATCGATGCCCCTCTGCCATGCAAAACTGTCCATGTATACCTTATATGCTATTTGCACCTCATCACCAACGCCTGGTGATGCTAAACCATCTGACAGTCTCCTATTACTGTTTTGCACTACTGTCACTGACTGTACTCGATTTTGAGTCAAAACTTATTGGCTGTACCATTTAGATTTATCCTAATTACGTTAATCCAGTTCTTATTCTACTTTATTCTATTTTGGTTCCTGTAGCTGTTCCTGGTAGGCTAGTGGTTAAGGCGCAGCACTCTCACCGCTACGGCCTGGGTTTGCGTCAGGAAGGGCATCCGGCATAAAACACATGCCAAATGTCAACATGCGAGTCAGTGTGATGATTCACTGTGGCGACCCCTAAACGGGAAAAGCCAAAAGTGTCTTTCTATTCTATTTTAGTTCCTAAATGTTATGGCACCCAATATTTGGTGAGAGAGAAACAGTATTTCGATTTTCTGTATGTCCGGTGTTCTGTCAAATTTTGCTACCTTGTCGAGATATACTACCTTGTTGCAAAATCTATGGACTGACTAACCCCACTAACGGTGGGTAGCACGTCTTTGATAGGTAGCAGTTTGACAGAACACCACCGCACATTGACAGTAAAATCCTTGAACCTTCCTTCTAGACACATAAGTAGCTAGCTAACCTGTACAGTATATGTCGGCATAATTAGCATGCTAACATTAGCATTTCAATTTTTTAACTTTGTATTGAATTAGTCTGGCTGTTATTTGGAGTCATTCCCACTGACTGCAACATTTGTGTTTTGCTGTCCATTTAGCAAAAACCAGCATGTTTTTCTGGATTAGCAAATGAAGTAATTTTGCTTAGTTTGCTGTATGACAAAACAAGTAGACACAAAGACAGTTCCTTCCTCCTGGGCCATCACTGATGAACACTTAACCCACGAGAGTATAATGCAATGACAACCCTCAGTGCAATACCTTATCCTATTGTATATATCTATCTGAAAAACTGCATCTAAACTGTGCATATATATATTTGTATAAGTACCTTATTTTTTATTTCCCAGTGCACATTCTTTTTTTGTTCTCTAAACCTTACCTTGTTTACTTGTCTACTCATTGCTTTATGGAAGAAAAATGTACATACACATTGAGAGCCACTGTACCAGAGCCAAAGTCCTTGTGTGTCCAACACACCTGGCCAATAAAACAGATTCTGATTCTGAGTTTTGGTCCAGGCCACATGATTTGTTTGTCAGACATTAGTCCATCAACACAAATAGAAAAGTGGGGAGTTTGTTCAACTATCAACGTAATTTCTCGTTTCACTTATAACTCATGTTTACCTTAAAACACTGTGTGTGTCAAGTATGTAACAGTGAACACGATGCAATAGTGGCCAGCACATTAGTACAGTATTACTGGGGGAAAAAAACATTCTTTTGTATAATTTGATTGTGTTACTGATTTAAGTAGGAAAAATGACCCTTGTCACTACAATGCCACCGAAAACCACATTCTGTAGGTGTTAATATTTATGCTGAGCTGCCTGACTGCAGAGTCTGTCTCTGGCTGTAGTTACCAAATATGAGTTTCAGGACTACTACTGCCTGAGTGTGTTTTGATTCTCACTCACTCTCTAACAGTTGAATAGTTAGAGGGTGAACGTTGGCTAAAGGGGCTTTAATTCCACGACAAGTCTGAGATTAGGCATCGTTGTTAATGACAACAGTCCACACGCAAATAAGTACATCTCTATTTGTAGCTCAGCTTATCGACCAAATTGTGACTGCCAAACATATCACTGACTGAACATCCCCATCAGATTTTTTTTTTTTTAAATGTAGTACAGTAGCAGCACTTTTTGGCAGATTTAAGAATGGGAGCAACACTGTGCAGATAGAGTACTCACAGAGACAAAGCATTACCTTTATGCTGCATTCAAGATTAATTGGAAAATTGGAAATTCACACTTCTGTTAATAGAACATTTCCTTCTGTTTCACGTTTATTTGTGCGTATGACAAATAAACACTTTGACCTTGACCTTCTGGTTGAGGTTCTCCTAAGTGGTACTTATTTGACTACACCTCAACATACTAATATGTTTATAGTCCTAAATATTCTTGCAATATTCAGGTAAAATATCTGCAGCCCCAACCACCATAAGGTTTCCTGTCTTGGTGAAAAAAAAAAAACATAACTCTGGAAGCTTCTGTGTAGCTTGGCTTTATGCTGCACCTGAGCCTAAACAGCCTGAAAGTGCACAAATGTCAGAAATGCACATTCAAAAAACAGAATTCTACACTGTTTTTTTTCCCCATTAACCTTGATATTAAAATACCCCTTGATGGCTGATCTAGGCTTTGTTGAAGCTTTGATAGTATTAAAAAAAAAAAAAAGCTTAATTACTCGAGACTTCAATGACAGTGCTCAAGTAGGACATCTAGTGGTCAATAAAATGAAGTGCAATTGAGATGTGTCATTTATTGGTTCATGGATTGTTTGGGATCTGATTCGCCATGCACATTCCTGTTCAACTACACTACATGATTGTATGGTTTCAAGCTGACACAATAAAATATAAAATAAACGAACTCATGTTGAAGACCATGTTTCTTATTTGGCTTGTCTGATTGTAACAGGCTATAGCTATATACTTAGCCTGACATTTTGTGCTATGAATATATTCTATCCTAAAACAAGTCTAAATAGCCCATAGCTTAAAAGATGTTGAATAGTGGGTGTTCAGTTGGCTAGACGGCAAAAGTGACCTCATTTCAAATGTTTAACTGATGAGATAAATAATGCTTAGAAGGCTAAGCTAAGCTCTCCCAAAGTAGCTGAGACAACCAAACCAGTGACAGGGTTTCGATAACGAATGAAGCAGTACAGTGGTTCATACATCACTCGTCATGTGACCAAACCATGCCTCAGCACAGTGGTTCTATACAACTGTTTCATGAGCTACCGCGCATGTGTTGGAGCCTTGGGTGTCAGACGACCATCACTACTCATGAGTGCCAATGTGAAACTTCCAACTTTGAATAAAGAACAGAGAGAGAAAATGAAACTAATGGGACATGACATGAAAGTCTAATTTAATGAAAGTGGACTCAAAGGAAATTTACTCAGTATTAGAGTATAACAAAAAAATGTTTAACTTCTTTCAATCCAAAGTGTAGGAAAATTGCAAAGTTGCCTCAAACAGAGGTCAGATGCCATACTTCTTCTGTAAGGCTGTGACAGACAATACTTCCAGCTCAGCTTGGTGAAGGTACCCAAACAGTTCTTTAAGCACTTAGGGAGAGAAAGAGAGTACAGCAATTGTCAATGTGATGTGGGTGAAAATGATACAATGAAAGCACTGTATTAGTTATTTGTGGCAGTGGATCAGAGAGACTCCACCTTTCTTCTCGGGAGCTGACATGAACATGACAGCCATTTCGAAGCGCCTCACACTTGCCAGACTGCTGAGGATCTCCATTGTCACACTAGGTGCTTCATTCCTGTACAGAAGCTGTTGTTAATACAAAATGTCTTTTTAAAAATGTTTCTGTATTTTAAGAGTTTGTTCAGCACAATTACCTTGTCTTGTCTAGTGTATTTAACAATAAATATGGCTGTGCTGAACTGTAAATAAATGTACATTTTTGAAAGTATTAACTTACTTTATATAAAACTTGTGCAGTGTCCTCAGGATCTGACTGAGGATGTCAGGGTCAAGAGAATTATGGAAAATCTTTATGTATGCATCAGCCTTGATTTGCTGTAACACAAAACAGAATTAGTTTGGTTACAACAATGACAAAAATGCAGGGTCATCTTGAAATTTTGCCTGTATTCAGGCACCTCTAGCTCTGATTAGTCCATCTAGGTCACAACAAATCATTTAAATCTTGAAAACTGTATTTCAGATTTAGACCATATTTCCTGTTGCTTGGTGAACTTCCCCTTGCTTTGCATATCTTCATTACCTTCATTGTCAATCAAATCAATGTGCCGATGACAGCATATAATTATACTGTCTGAACACCAGTGAAAGAAAGTGTACTTAGTCCGATTTGTTAGCTTCTATCACACAGCTCACCCTCAGATATCTGTAAATCACTTCAGGTTGGTTTCCGATCTTACGAAGGTCGGCCTCCAGCTGGAAGCTGTTGGTAGGTGGAGGAGGCAGGTCTGCCACTGTCCAGGAGGGGTTGGTTGACAGTGTGGATGGGATATCTTCCTGGGCTGATTGTTTGGCCTGTCTGCTAGCAGGGAGTGTGGTGATCAGAAACAGAACATCTGTTTACTGGGTGGAAATAATATCACATTCCACAAAACAATCCAAATCAGGAAATGGGAAAGGAAATGACAAAAAGGCCTTAAATGGTTTTAACTGATAAGACAGAGCCACTCACAGATTGGGCGAGTTCAAGGGGACGTCGGCTATCTCCTCTATCTTGATCATTTTGGCGCTGGGTGATGTTGACAATGAAGAGGAGCTGCCCTGAGCCTCGTTCATCACCTCTTCTACAAAAGACTTGGACCCACCTGCCTCCACCTCAGGTACTATCACCTTTCCACTGATTTCTTCAATGTCAATCCTCCTCAGAGGTTTCTGAAGAGCATTATATATTAAGAGTTGGTCAACATGGTCACCCAGTTTGGCAAGAATATAAGTGTGTTTTTCAATCACTCTAGTATAGACTTATTGAAGCTGAGTTTATAGTGAGGTCTCTCCTGTCACCTGCTGGGCAAACAATGAAATTCATGAGAGATCCAGGCCTGAGGTATGGGTCATGAACAGAGAGACTGATATATCAAGTCACAGGAGCTTATTTCAGTAGTTGTTAGGAAAATTCTCTCCCTCCTTTCCTGGCCTCAGGATCTTTCTGTCAATCCACAAGATGATTAATCATTTCAGGAATTTCATTTCATTGAATGCGTACCCAAACTTCTCCAGTTCTCTACAAATGCAGTTCAATCATTTGGTAAAGGATCCTTTCTGAAATCACAATACAGCCCATTATCTTACTTCTACATGAAACTTCTCATCTGGATTCAAGGGTATCAAATCTGTTTTTGTGCTACATGTCTACTAATCTCTGCCTTTATTGCCTTTGGTATAGGAAAATGCAGAGGCACGGTCTTGAAGCCCTGTTGAGCTGGGTGTCAAAAATGACTTGTAAAATGCAGGAAATGCTTAAGAAAAATCATTTACAACTCACAGTTGAGCGAAGATGTGCTGGTTTGTCTATTGGCTGGGCTGTTCTGTTCTGTGAGTTGTCCTCTGTTTGAAGAAGGCCACTGGAACCCATGTCCTAATGCAACACAGTGACATTAGGGGAAAAGACGTGATGACACGTGTAGAGGATCAAACTTGAAGTCTGATGGGTCCATTAGTTACAGATGACAGTTTTTCACCGGTTATGTTGAAACTTACAATCTGGAGTTTCTGGAGCTCATTGAGGGCCTGTTTGTTCCCTGGTTCCAGTTTCAAGACCTCTTGAAAATCTGTAACATGAGTAATGCAGCCATATAGTCAATACATAGAAACAATGTTAGTTCAGTGCAATTTCTTTAGATCAAAGCACAGCACAGCACCTTGCTTGGCCTCCTCCAGTTTCCCTAAAGCCACTCTGGCTGTGCCTCGTCGGGCAAAAACCTTGGAATAAGTACTGTCCAGAGAAATGGCTTTAGTGCAGTCCTCCTCTGCCTCCTTATACCTACAGGAAACAGGCAAAACAGAAGAAAACAGTCTACCTTGAGTTGCTGCCACAACATAGCAGTCTCATTCTTCATAGTTTGTTACTGTAATAAGAGTTCAATATCGGGGGCAGACACCAGCCAGTTTTGAAATGTCAGATTTCAGAGGTTCCTTGCAAATCATATTTAAATGTAACAAGACAGAAAAAAAATTTGTTAAAATGAAATCTCATTTATTCATCCTTGATGACAGTGTTTTAAAATGTATTGTGAATAGTTTTATTAGAAAAAGGCTTTGGGCTGAAAGGATGTGGACACCCCTAGCCTACTAATGTATCCTCTCCCATCTTTATGATCCATCAGTCAATGATGATCAATCTGCTTTCTAACTTCTTGAAGCAATTCCTTACCATGCGGACCCATGTTGAATTAGAGCTGTGTTCCCCAAAGAATAAGAATGTGCCTGTGGCGGTACAATTTTTTGCTTAATTTTGTTTAAGTATAGTAATACTATAGTAACTCTGTGCTGTTCATCTGACCTGTCCTTTCTGCACTAGTTCTCCCACAGCAACAGCATGTTAGCTGCTGCCCTCATCCTCTCTTAACATAAATCTCTCTCTTCAGCCATCTCTTCCTTACACTCTCTTGCTGCTTCGGTAGCACCAGTAAATATTCAAAATGAAACAATTGGCTCATCAATCACACTGATTGGACTAATCAGTTTTCCTATGTGTTTTTCAATATTCCCCTGAACTGAGGGGGCAAAAAATCAGTGTCAGAGTTTATTAACTAGCATTAACTTTATCCACTTGCAGAGCAGTCCCTCTACATACATCCATGCTATACACAGCGTGCTAACCTTGGCAACAACTATATTCTAATGTTATCTTAGCTAGCATTGCTAATGTTAGTTTGCTAACAGCATATTAGAAGAGTTGGAGCTCCGTGTACGACAGCATTTGTATAAAAAAAAAAAAAAAAAATAGGCCAAACATGGGGAGGAGGAACTGTTTACAGTTGGCCCGTCATGGTTGTCATGTGTTTGTGTGTGGGGCACAAAGGGACTGTGCATATACAGTGCTCAGCATAAATGAAATCTTACTTTTGAAAAGTAAGACTTTAATCAATATCTCAATGAACAAGAAATTTCCAAAATTTTGACAAAACTGTGTTGTAGAGAACATTTGTTTAGCTCATTACATGAAAGTAAGATTAATAATATAACTTGGATAACGAAATCTTCAGTTTAACTCGTTAGTTGCTGCAGAAATTAATACACCCCACAACAAAAACTACAACATTTAGTATTTTGTATGACCTCCATGATTTGTAAGGACACCAGTCTTATAAGCATGGATTGAACAAGTTGGTGACATATTGCAACATCTATCTTTTTCCATTCTTCAAGAACGACCTCTTTTAGAGCCTAGATGCTGGATGGAAAGTGATGCCCAACTTGTCTCTTCAGAATTCCCCATAGGTGTTCGATTGGGTTCAGATCAGGAGACATACTTGGCCACTGAATCACTTTCAACATCCTCTTCGTCAAAAATGCAACAGTGGCCTTAGAAATGTGTTTTGGATCACTGTCATGTTGGAAAAGTGCACAATGACCAAGGGCATGGAGTGATGATAATATCTTCTCTTTCAATATAGAGCAGTACATTGTGAATTCATGATACCATCAATAAAATGCAGCTCTCCAACACCAGCAGCACTCATGTAGCCCCACAGGACACTGCCACCACCATGTTTCACTGTAGGCACCATGCATTTTTCTTTGTACTCCTCACCTTTGCGACGCCATACAGTTTTGAAGCCGTCAGTTGCAAAAAAACATTTATCTTGGTCTCATCACTCCAGAGTACAGAGTCACAGTAGTCTTCCTCTTTTTCAGTATGGGCCCTGGCAAATTCTAGGTGGGCTTTTTTGTGCATGGGCTTTAGGAGAGGCTTCCTTCGTGGATGACACACATGCATGCCATTCCTCTGCAGTGTACGCTGTATTGTGTCACGAGAAACAATCACCCCTGTTTGGCTTTCTACTTCTTTAGCTAACTTGCACAGAGATTTTCTTCAACCCTTCTCATCAGAAGACACTCCTGTCAAGGCGTTAACATCTGTGTACGGCCTGGATTTCTTTGTGAGATGGTTGCAGTTCCATCTTTGTTAAATTTTTGTATCAATTACACTACAGTATTCTGATTGATAAGGAAAGCTTTGCTGATCTTCTTGTAGCCTTCACCTTTCTTGTGTAAAGAAATGATTTTCTTTCTCAGGCTAGTGATGGCCATCTGACACCGAGGCCTCGATACATTATTGGAGCTCGGAGAGGGATCTTCCGCGAACCACTGCTTCGAGACTTGTATCGTTGCCGAAAAGACAGGACTTATTACATCCAACGTAGAAACGGCTGGGCTGAGTGACTCCCGTGACCTGTTCAAACCATCAATGCGGTGTCATGATGCAAGATCTCGCTGCGCGCGTCAGCAGGTGCATAGGCGTAGGGGTACTATAAAGCGACCCAAGATTATGCACAACGTGTGGGTTTGTCGGTGTAGTAGGTGTATGCGTAGTTGCTGTTGGTATAATCATTGCTGCTGGTGTGTGATCACCATGGAGCCAGCTAGGAAGAGACCCCGTTCTCCAATGTGGGAACACTTTCAGCTGATCGGTCCAAAGACAGTGGAGAAACTTTTGTTCTTGAATAGAAATGATTGATTCTCCATCCCTTGTATTTATTCACACCCTGTCCTAGTTACATATGCACATATTACCATCCTAGCACATCCTCTGTTTCCCCAAGCACGCCTTCTCCCACCTACTACACTACATACGTTCATAGACTCGACCGACTGACCAATCAATCTTTACAAATGTTTTCACATCATTCACACAAAGCCTAGTTACACCCATCACATGCAGCAGAACAATGTCTGAATTATACTATTTTGCCACCAGATGGCACTAAACCAAACCTTTGAATGAATGAACCAATACTCAATACAAATGATGAAGTGGTTGGATACAGGTGTCATGGTGTCAACTGGACATCACTATCTCAGGCCTTGTGACATTTCTCTTCCATGTGGTGCCATTGCTGACAGCATGAAATGGGAAGGGGTTTTCTTTAAGTAACACCCTTTTATAATCAACTGTCCTGCTGGACACCTGTTTAAAGGATAATTCGACTCACCTGTAGTTGAATTCTTGTTCATAAGGATTTTGTTGTCTAAAATTTTGCTTTGTTCCTAAGACTTTCATTGGGGTGTAGTCATTTTTGCAAAATGGTCTTGAATGAATTTTTTAGGGAAAGTACTTTTTTGTGTGCACATTAACAAATCATGGTTGCAATCACTGGCCTGCATTTGTGGGAGTATTTTGTAGTATACTGTCCCATAGAAAATGTTGATTTTGAAAGGAAAGTAAAAGTTTTCTGACAAATCTGTTGGGGTGTACTCATTTATGCTGAGCACTGTACATGCACTACACACAGCAGCACACTGAAATAAGATTTAACCTATTTTAAATCAATATGTGGAGGCCAATGCTGATATTGTGGTGGCCCACCACAAATAAATTAATGTGTGGAAAACCCGGATTAGACACAAAACAAGCCATAACTGTCAAAGTTAATGGTATATACAAATTATTTTATAACATTTAATGCTATTCACTGTCACACTTTGTATCAAGTTTTGTTATACAACCCCAAATCTGAAAAAGTTGGGATGGTATGTGAAATCAAAATTCTTCTTCTTCTTTCGGCTGTTCTCATTAGGGGTCACAAATCATCTGTTTCCACCTAACTCTATCCTCGGCATCCTCTACTCTCACCCCAGTTACCTTCATGTCCTCTTTTAGCACATCCATATATCTCCTCTTTGGCCTTCCTCTTGATCTCTTGCCTGGCAGCTCCATCTCCAACATCCTTCTACCAATATAACCACTATCCCTCCTCTGCACATGTCCAAACCATCTTAATGTGGCCTTTCTGACCTTGTCCCCAAAACAGCCAACCTGAGCTGTCCCTCTGATGTGCTCATTCCTAATCCTGTCCATCCTGGTCACTCCTAAAGAGAACCTCAACATCCTCATCTCTGCTACCTCCATCTCTGCCTCTTGTCTTTTCCTCACTGCTACAGTCTCTAACCCATACAGCATAGCTGGTCTCACTACTGTCTTGTACACCTTTCCTTTGATTCTTGCTGACACTCTTCTGTCACACAACACTCCTGACACCTTTCTCCACCCACTCCAACACGCCTGCACTCGCCTCTTCACCTCTTTCCCACACTCCCCATCACACTGGACTGTTGACCTAATCCTAATAAACATGAAATGTGATTAAACAATGTGAATATAAACTATCATGCTGGACTTAGTCCTCTACAAACCTCTCCAAAAGTTTTGCTTTGCTTTTCAAGCATCTGTATTTTTTTTTTCAGCAGCAGAAATGGCTGAGAAGAGGAAGGGGCCCCGCCTCCATCTTGAACTCCTCTGTCTGACCTACAGCACATCTCACTACTGTCGTACTCCTCTCATACATATCCTGAACTACTCTGACATCCTCATACAGTACCATCGTTCCTGTCATCTGGACCAACAGCCTTCCCACTCTTCACTTCTCCTCAGAGCCTTCCCACCTCATCCTTTCTAATCTTTGCTACTTCCTGCTCTACAATATCATCCTCCCCATCGCTATCTCTCGTCCTTGCTAATCTGTACAAGTCCTTCTCGTCTTCCCTCGTGTCTAACCTGGCATTGCCACCTCCCTCATCACTATGTTTGGCCATTGCCACCTCCCTCTTCACTCTACGCTACAATTTCTTGTAATCCTGTCTACTGTCTTTAAATTTGGCATGTTTTATACTGGATGCCCTTCCAGATGCAACCCTCTCTATTTATCCGGGCTTGGGACCAGCACAGAAGTCACTGGCTTGCAACCCCTGTGGGTAGATTATGAACACAGAAGACACACATTTTGAAAATCCTTGCTATAGCTCAAAAATGAATCCGTGAAAATTGTGTGATGCTGCTGGCAATACCACATCAACATTTATCCTGACCATGGACCGAACAGAGGGAGTGTGTAGCTGACGCGAACAGAGCACAAGGATTAAAAAATATATAGAAAGCCTAAGCTGGATGACCGTGTGTCCGATCCCTCAAATGGCACTGCATCAACAATCATCACTATTCTACAAGTGATATGCCCAATTGGGCTCAGGATTACTTTGGCACACCTGTGTCAGGCACTACAATACGCAGTTACATCCATAAATCCCTCTTCTGGAAATAGGTGTTAACTACAGCCATTTCCATCCTCTTAGCAAAGTCCACCACCATCTGTCCTTCTAGGTTCCTTCCCTTAACACCAAACCTGCCCATCACCTCCTCATCGTCTTTGTTCCCCTCACCAACATGCCCGTTGAAGTCTGCCCCAATCACCACTCTCTCCCCTCTGGGAATACTCTCCATCACCTCATCTAACTCACTCCAGAATCTCTCCGTCTCTTCTAACTCGCACCCTACTTTGGAGCATAACCACTGACTACATTCAACATTACCCCTTCAATTTCCAACTTCAAGCTGATTACCCTGTCTGACACTCTTTTCACCTCTAAATCATTCCTCATGAGCTCCTCCTTCAGGATCACTCCTACCCCATTTCTTCCTATCCACACTATAATAAAACAGTTTGTATCCTCCTCGAATACTATGCACTTTGCTACCCTTCCACCTGGTCTCCGGCACACACAGTCATTCCCTGTTATTGTGCCAACATTAAGAGTCCCTATTCTCAGACCTATACTCCTGCCTTTCCTCTTCTCTCTGTCTACGAATCCTTCTACCTCCTCTCCTTCTTCAACCAACAGTAGTCCAATTTCCGCCAGCACCTTGTAGGTCAACAGCACCGGTGGCGGTCGTTGTTAACCCGGGCCTCGACCGATCCGGTATGGAATTCACACTGATGATTTGCATGTTTAAATTTGGCGTGTTTTTACGCCGGATGCTCTTCCTGACACAAACCTCTCTATTTATCCGGACTTGGGACCAGCACAGAAGTCACTGGTTTGCAACCCCTGTGGCTGGATTATATAAAATCAAAATTAAAAAAGAAAATATTCATTTCTAAATCATATATGCCCTGTATTACATTGAAAACAATAGAGCAGTACATTATGTGATACCTCCTCAGTTTTATTCTTTGGTCAAAATAAACATTCATTTCAATTCTGATGCCTGCAACACATTCTAAAAAAAAGGTGGGTCCGTTGCATTTCAGGGCTAGTAATGATGTAAGACAATGACATGATGATTGCATTCCATACAGGTGAATGCAATCATAATTTTGTACAAAGGTGGCATTCAGCAAAGGCCTAGCCCTTTAGGAACAAAGATGGGCTGAGGATCACCAGTTGGCCAACATATGCATAATAAAATTATTGAAATGTTTAAAAACAATGTTCCGCAAAGAAAGATACAAAGAGATTTCAATATGTCACCCTTTATGGTGCATAACATAATTCAAAGATTGAAGGAATCTGGAAGGACTTTAGTGCGTAAAGAGCAAGGGTGCAAGCCTAAGCTGGATGACGGTGTTCTCTGATCCCTCAGATGGCACTGCATCAAGAATTGTCACTCTTCTATAAGCTATATAACCACATGGGCTCAGGATTACTTTGGCACTACTAATGCAGTTACATCCATAAATGCTGCTTAAAACTGTACTGAGCCAAAAGGAAGCCCTATGCCAACAGTATCCAGAAGTGCAATCGACTGCTCTGGGCTCGGGGGTATCTGGGATGGACCATCACACAGTGGAAATGTATATTGCAGTGAGACAAATCAGTATTCCAGGTCTTTTATAGAATGAATAGATGTTGTGTGATCCAGACCGAAAAGATGACCACCACCTTTAATGCTGAAAAATACAGAGATCATAGAGCAACATATGGTACGTTCAAGATGACATCTTTTCCATCTTTTACCTATGCACATTTCAACACAATGCAAAACCTCATACTGCACACATTACTAAGGCACAACTGAAAAGGAAACGGGTACAAGTGCTGGACTTGGCCTGTCTGTAGTCCCGACCCATTTTCAAATGCAAATTGTGTCAACGAAGGACTGTTGTGCACCTTAAGTCTCGTTTTCATGTGGAATGGGACAAAATTGCACCTGACACACTTAATCACTTGTGTTCTCAGTCCCTAAACATCTTTTAAATGTTGTGAAAAGGAATGGAAACATCACACTGTAAATGCTTTACTGTCCCAATTTTTTTTGGAATGTGTTGCAGGCATCAGAATTGAATTGTTATTTTAAACAAAGAATAAAACTGATGAGGTATCACATTGACTAATGTGCTGCTGTATGTTTTCATTGTAATACAGGACAGATGATTTACAAACCACTATTTTCAGATTTAATTTTGATCTTACATACCATCCAAACTTTTTCCATTTTTATGGTTTTATACTGTATAATATGCTGCAGCAAATATTATTTAAAAATCCAGTTTAATTTCAGTTAGACTTTAAGCAATTCGTTTTCACTCTAAAAAGAATAGTCTGGTGTAAAGAAGAAATGTTGTGCTTACTTCTCCAGCTTGAGGAGGGCCATGGCTCTGTTGGCAGGAAGCAGAATGTTCCTGCTGTCTGCCTCCATGCCTCTGCTGTAGCACTCTACAGCCGCTTCATACTTCCCCTCTTTGAAATAAGCATTCCCCTGAGAAACATGTTCAGAAAACATTACTGCATGGGAAAACTGCTTCCAAATAAACAGTTTGGTTTTGTCACTAAACTGTTTCCCTCTGTGCCTCTGAGCTGATGAGTCTACAGCATAAGTGGAAAACCATGGCAAAGCCTACTCTGTCTTTTTGTATAACTGCCTCCTGTCTCCTCTGCTGTTCCTCCATCAGTCTCTGCTGATCAGGATTGACTGCTGGAGCCTCCCATGACTGCATGGCTTCAGTTTGGACAGTTGGCGCATGATGTCCAAGGGCCTGAAACCAAAAAAAGAACAGGGAAGAAATAAAAGAAAAGAAGACTTGAAAGATTAACATGACCCAAATCAATGATTTCACTCACCTCTCTGATTTTCTTCACTTCATTCTGTGCTTCCACATTTCCAGGGTCAAGCTTGAGAACCATCTCATAATCTATTCAGAAATTGATTATGTGCAGTTATAACACTGCAGTCAAGTTATATAGACCCTCATTCTTTTAACTGCTTGTTACCTTCTAATGCAGATCTATATTTCTTCAGTGCAAATCGTGCAGCTCCTCTTCGCGCGTACGCTTTGAAGTAGCTGCTGTCCAGAGCGATCGCTAAGTTGCAGTCAGACTCTGCCACAGCATATCTGCAAACAAAGTTTCAGTGGCGTACAGGGGAACAAAACTGACACAGTACCAGCACAATACAACAGCCATGTGATCTGCGCTTTACTTTTTGAGTCTGAAGAAGGAGGTGGCACGGTTTGTGGGAAGCACAGGGCTGTATGGATCTGCACCCATCCCTCTGGTGTAGCACTCAATAGCATCGTCATACTTCCCATCTTTGAAAAACTTGTTGCCCTGAAAATACAAGTATATTCTGTTACAGGATGGAATGTTTTATTCTTATCTTTTGTTATTTTTGTTTCTCATATAGTATTTACTTTTTCCTTCTCAGCTAGCGCTCTCTTCTGGTCAACTGCAGCTTCCTCAGAGTCCGACTCATTTGAATCTGCCGGACTTTCCTCTTTATCCATCTCTGCCAGAGCCTTGTCCTGCGACCACAGGAGCACAATTTTTCAATTAATTACTCCATGACTCCATAGATCATGTTAGGTATAGTTTAAAAGAATGCATTAGCTAAAACATTAAATTTGTCCCATGATCGATAGTCATATACTTTTATTCTTGATGCTTGTTTTGGCTCCTCTGGCTTTATGTCGCTGTTACTAGTGGGTTCCTTTGTCCTCATCTTTGTTTTGTAGTCTTTGTTGCGCACAAGTGGGAGCTTTTTCTGCAACAGAGACAGAGAGCTGCACATTCTGAACAATACCTTTTCTTGATATGTCTACGGAAGGAACAAACCTCGACCTGCTGAATTTCCCCTGCCCTCAGCTGTTCATCCTTCTTCTTTACGTCTGTTTCCCAATTTTCCAGCTCCTTCATGAAGCTGTGCAGATCCTCCGCGTTTTGTCGCATCTGAAGCTGCAACTCAATGGCTTTGTTTGCACCAGACATGTTATTTCCTGCGAAACAGACATTTGTGTTGGTTAAATTCGTATCACTTGTTGTCGTTGCTGTTGTCTTAAAGTTGGTGTTGCAACCAAGAGGAAAACACGAGAATTGTGCTACCCTGCTTTTGCGGATACCAGCTAGCTAGCTATCCGTTAGCTAGCTAACAGAAATGCGATTCAGAGAGAACAGAGGGGGGCAAAGGGACTGTTACTACTTGAACCCTGTAAAGTACCGTTCACTTATCTCTCCAACTGATACGCACAGTTAAAATGTAAATGCTGATAGTTGTATTCAGTACTACAACAAACTGTGTCCTTGTTCTTCTTTTTCTGTTGTCTTAATAACAGTTGGCAACCCGCTTTAAGTACATTACCGTCACCTTCTAGACTGGAGTGTGGATCAAAACGGCCCCTACCTACCACTATAAATGTGCCATTATTTATGGCTTTCTGTTTATGTTTGGAGCCATGACAGCGAAAAGCCAGGTAGTCCGCTTGTTAGATAGTAAGGGAACATGCTGCTCCTGCTTCTTCTTCTTCTGTGGTTTAATGGCGGTTGACAACCAGCTTTAGGTGTATTACCGCCACCTTTTAGACTGGAGTGTGGATCAGAACGGCCCCTACCTGCTAATATAACAAAATAACCCCACTCAGTTCACTGTATATTATCTTGTGTAACCCCGTGCTCTCTAATTGCTCTGTATCCTATATCCCCTATATCTTTGTGCCAACACCTCCGGTAAACTAAAGTTCATTCCACTTCTTAAAACTGTATTTTTGAATAATTCCCTTTCCTGCCTAAACCTGGGACAACTCATTAGAACATGATCCACAGTTTCTTATACCCTACACACCTCACATTCCCCTGTATTATGTTTATTTATTATCTTCAATGTACTTTTTAAACCAGTGTGCCAACATTCTGTTTCCAAGTCCCAACTTCGGTTTGTTATCTTCTTCTCTATGTCACAGTGTTGTTTTCCCCATTGTTTCAATAGTTCAGAATAGAAAATGGCAAGTCAGCTGTCATTTTACCACTTTCCTTGTGATGAGAAGAAGAAGTCACAGTATTCTTAAATTAATAAAAATAAAGCCTCCAGAAGCCTGTCGTCATCGGTGAATGAATGGGTGAATGGTGTATCATCTCCTGTAAAGCGCTTTGGCCAGTTCAACACACTGTGGAAAAATGCGCTATATAAATACAGTCCATTTACCGTTCCAAAAGTGCAGTTTTACTGCCTTGTAACGTAACATTAGCTAGCTGGTTAGCACGAAGCTACTGTATACATTATACATTGATGAATGTAATAAAAACCGAGAACTATTAAAAACGAGTTAGACATATAGCTCGATATATATAGCTATAATATTTTAATAAATTCACCACGTATAATAAAGGTTGGTCATTAACATTATTCCACCAAGGGAACAGCAACACTGACTATTTGAATCTTAAGAATGCAGTCATGATTTTTTTAAACTCTCAATGATGCTTCGTTTTATTAAAAAAGAAGAAGCTATTGTGTGTAGAAGATGACAGGCTCTTCCGTTTGGGCATAGGGGAGTTTAGACCCGGAAATTGTATTACGTCACACTTAACAAGCGGGTAGCTTTTGCTATACCGATCCTGCACTGGGCGTAACCAAGATCGTCTATGTTAAAAACTGAGAATCTACTCCAAAAAACTTTTACTCACTTGTTAATTCATTGAATTATAATTCGCTTTTAAGTGTGAGAGGGACTTTAATTAAACTGCAAAAAAAAACAAAACATTATTTATTACCTTTGACCTAACACAAACACGTGATCTATTAAAAAAAAAAAAAAAAAAAAAAAAAAAAGTGATGACCTTTCTGGTTAGCTAGCGGTAGCTAACTAGGGGAAGTATTATTTCCTAATTGTAGGCAAGATTTCACACGATGGACCATACTAAACAAGAGGGAGAATATGGATATGAATTGTTCCCGCATAGAAACATGGGAAAAAATAAGCAGGGATCAATCGCAGAGGGCCAGTTTACTTTCAACCACAAGTGTCAAATCATGTTACAATTTGCAATGGAAACTAGTAAGTATTCCAGCCAACTACTTACCCTTTAAATGGAAATGTAGTGTCAGCAGTGACTGGTGGATATATTGTCTGAGCAAGAGGTCTCTGTTATGTGCTTGCGTAAATGCCTGTTCAGTGTTAACGTTTCAATCTCGCAGCCTGTGCGGCATAAATTAGCATTTTGATCATTTAGCTAGCGGTAGTATTCGGGTAATCTGGCTTCTGTTTTTCTCAGGTCCTTATGCCAAACTCCTCCTAAGTGCCATGAAGAATTCGGGATGGTTAGTACTGCAATTCACATCCATCCAACAACGTGCAACTGTTTACTGGTTTTTGTTTACCAAAATAAGTGTAATGCATCACAAGGATTTTTAGAAGCACAGCCTTGATTTTTTTTTTGGATAGTGCTAGGCTACATGGATCTTAATCTCACATCTCTCTCCTCTCAACACAGTAAATTGTTTAAAGACCGACATTTCTCTTGCGAAGATTGTGATGGGACAGTCAGCGGGGGCTTTGATGCATCCTCTTCTCAAGTAAGAGAGAGAATGTCTGTAAAATATTTTAGATTGTGGAGGATTAAGATAACTTGACTTGTCAGAAGTGATGAGAGTTATCTCCTTGGTTTTCAGATAGTTTTGTGTCAAAACAACATCCGCCAGCAGTCTCACATGAACCGAGTAGTTACACATGAGCTCGTCCATGCTTTTGATCATTGCCGGGCCGATGTGGACTGGTTCAACAACTTACGACATCTAGCTTGTTCAGAGGTGCGTAAAAATATGTTCTGATTCATTTTTATTTCTGCCAGTGAATGTTTGTAATTATGTTTCAACTGTCATGAATAATCCAGGTATAGAAATATCGTCCTTTTCTCTTTGATTCAATAGTAGTTTTTCCCTTATAAACGTGAAATAAATTAGGGCCTCATACAGTCACAGCTGCAACTTTTTGACATCAAAATGTATCCAAAATACAAGGAAAGAACTCAATTACATTTCCGTGCTACAGGGAACACCTTAATGCGGTGAAAAGACAGGAATTTTAACCAGATTTCCCACAATTAAAATTCACTGATTGTTGTGGTTTCCCAATATATTTTTAAAGGATAATACTGGCGGACCAAACTGTTCTCTTTCAGGAGGCGGAACATTTCTTTTTCCTTTTTTTTTTTTTTTTTTTAACATTTCCGGTAAAAACCGAAAATGTAAATCTTTAAAAACAGGTCATGGAAATGTACTTTTCTTATTAAATGTCAAATAGTTTCCTAAAATAACTGGGTCCTCTAGTTTTTACTAAATATTGCTTCAACAGGGGTAAATACTAGATTTGCTGGGGACCATTTTCATCAGTGAATTAATACGCATTTGGTTGTTGTAAGATTTCAGTCTTATAGACTCTAGTTACTTTATAAGCTTTAGTTACTTCTCATACCTTTAGTTCCCTTTAGTTACCATAACTTTATCTTACTTGTTTATGCATATTACAGCTATATTGATGATTGTCCAGAACTACTGAGCTTTGGTTATTTTAATACATTTGTTTCCCTTGCTTATATATCTTACAGCTGTAATGAAGCAGAATCTGCTTACTTTGAATGCTGTACGTTCTGTGTAGAGACTAGATGTCTGCATCTCTCTGAGACCAGACAGCCTATTAACATGTTAGCAAAGGCCTATTTTACACTCACACCTCAACCCACCTAGCATATCCCACTCTTTGCTTTGTCTTGG